TGCTTATGTGTGGTTATTTTTCCTCAGTGAGGCACAGAGTTGCTTAGTGCCCCTCTGACTCTCACTTGCCCCAGAGCCATCTCTATAGAGTTCAATGTACTGCAATGGCTGTCTGTAATTCCTCTTTAATAAAATTTCTATAAAAGACAAAGCCATGGGGCTGGGAATATAATTCAATTCTACAGTACTTGCCTTGCATGCATGAGGCTTTGATTTGATCCCCAGTGTGCACATGTGCACACACAAACACACACACACACACACACACACACACAAAGTGCCTACTGGGCTAAATAACAGGGATACAAGTTGTCACAAAATGCCATAGACCCTGTACTGGAGTTTGTTTGTGGAAAAGTCAGGCATTATTCTTAAACAAAAAATAATTATATAATTTTAAATTGTACTAAGTACTAACTGAGGCCTACTAGAAGACTTCTATTGGGAAATAACATTTGAACTGACCTGAAAATTTTTTTAAATTAACAAAGCAGAGGGAAAAAGGTGAAACAAGCTTTCCTGGGAGAAGAACAGTCCATCAGAAGGCTTCCTTGGGTTATGATCATACTGAAAGTAGTGAAATGGAATATGGTGAAGGAGGGAAAAGACATGGAAATTTGGATACTATGCAGAGGATTTGTTTTTGTTTTTGTTTTGTTTTGTTTTGCAGAAAAACTCATATTGTTCAACATTAGCAGGCAGAAAGAATAGGAAAAAAAATAAAAGTGAGGCTATCACAGAAAAGCCAACTTATTATATTAATTAGGTTTTATGAGATAGTATACATCATATATTAATGGTCTCATCAATAATGATTCCCATCTATAATCAACATTTCAAAAAATGGAAGTTTTGGGGCTGGGGTTGTGGCTCAGTAGAAGAGCACTAGCCTCACACATGTGAGGTACTGGGTTCAATCCTCAGCACCACATAAAAATAAGTAAAGATATTGTGTCCATCTACAACTAAAAATTTTTTTAAAAAATGTAAGTTTTATACAAATATTATATATAAACAATATATTGCTTATTCTTTAATTTCTAAATCATACTCACTTATACACCGACTGCCTGAAATATAAATAACATTATTTTATGACAAGGCAGAATATCTACATTATCTCAACTATGAAAAAAGAAAAACAGGTCCAAAATAGTGTTAAGGGACTTCCTTAGTTAAAACTGCAAAACTAAGTATATTGGGCTGGATATATAACTCAGTTGGTAGAGTACCTGCCTCACATGTACAAAGCCCTGGGTTCAAACCCCAGCATCACCAAAAAAAAAAAAAAAAAAAGAATAAAAAGAAAACAGTATATTTATAAATATATATTTAAATCCCTGCATTTCCATTCCATTTTTCTTTTTTGGGGGGAGCATGGAGGCTAAATTTTATATAGATAATATCTGCTCTTATATTTCCACTCATATTAAAGACATCACTACCCTGTCACTCAAGCCAAACCTCCTCTCCTTTACCAGCCCTCCACCTCTAATCATCAAGTGTTAACAAGACATCTTCCTAAATTTCTCTGGAATGGATCTCTTCCTTAGTTTCCTTTTGCAAGTCCATTTCTTCATGAGTCTCTTATGTGAGATTTTAATTGTTCTGTCACAGTTTTCTCTTCTTCAGCCAGTGGTGACAGCTCCAGATCTGTTTGCTTTTGTAGTTCTTGTATCATGGTCATAGTCTTATTCAAAGTAGCATAAATGCAGCTCTTAGTCTCTTTCTGCTCAACAGCAACTGGTTTAAAACGTGCATATAAAGATTGATAGCAGAGACTTCATCACTGACAATTCCTTTAGACATAGTAACTGGATTTTTCGGCCTGCTGAATCAGGATGATTTGTCTTGATTTCATATTCCAGCCTATACTGAATGTAATCCAGATCAGAGTCGGCTTTCTGGAACCCAAAACTTATTATTTTTTTTTTTAAAGAGAGAGTGAGAGAGGAGAGAGAGAGATAGAGAGAATTTTTAAATATTTATTTTTTTTTAGTTCTCGGTGGACACAACATCTCTGTTGGTATGTGGTGCTGAGGATCGAACCCGGGCCGCACGCATGCCAGGCGAGCACGCTACCGCTTGAGCCACATGCCCAGCCCTGGAACCCAAAACTTATATACTTCAATGCTCACTGCCATTTCATTCATAACAGTCAAAACATGGAGACTGAAAGTCCAAAATCATCAGTTCAAGCTTATCAACCTCCGCCTCCATGTTGAATAGTTCGAGGATTTGGTATTTTATTTCAAGAGCAGTACAACCTACCGAGGAGCAGCTGGAAGATTATAGGATCCAATTAAAATTTTAGAACATTCACCTTAGCTACTGTGGAGAATAAGTCCCAGAAGTTTCTACTGGTTTATGAAGAGGTCTTACAAAAATTATGGGCCTTATTATCAATGGGAAAACTGCTTAAATTTTTAAAGCTGTTTTTCACAAGGTACAATGTGCATGCTTGTAATCCCAGCAACTTGGTAGGTTGAGGCAGGAGGATTGCAAGTTTGAAACCAGCCTTAGCAACTTAGTGAGATCCTGTCTCAAAATAAAAAAGGGCTGGGATGTGGTTTAGTGGTTAAGTGTCCCTGGCACTATTATCTACAGATATCTATCTTTAAATAAAAAATAGCAATTTTTCAAAATCCAGATTGTGAATTAATTAATGGTAAATGGAAGAAAAAGAGATTGATAAATTAGTATACCCCACTGAATAACACTAGATTAGTGCTTCTCAAACTTTAAGGTTTTCAAATCACCTAGGTATTTTGTCAAAATGTAAATTCTGCCTCAGTAGGTCTAGAAAAAACATTTCCTCATTTCTAAAAAATTCTTGATACCTATGCCATTGGTTCTCAAACTGAGAGTAACACATGACTGGGTTATATTTAAAATTTTTATTGATTCTTTTTAGTTATACATGACAGTAGAATCCATTTTGACATAATTATACAAACATGAAATATATCTTGTTCTAACTCAGACTCCTTGAAATTCTGATATATTCTGTCTTCTAATGCCTATCAGGCTTCGGAGTGGTCTGGCCAATTGTGAACTTACACATTTGAAATTTGGGGTTTTAGCTGGGCACAGTGACATAGGCCTATAATTCTGGCAACTCAGGAGGCTACAGCAGGAGGATTACAAGTTTGAGGCCAGCCTCAGCAATTTATCAAGACACAGAAATTTTGTGATACCATGTCCAGAAATAAAAAATAAAATTAAAAAAGGACTGGGGTGGGGATGTAGCTCAATGGTAAAGCATCCCTGGGTTCAATCCCCAGTACCAAAAAAAAAGGGGGGGGAGGGCGGGTGGAGAAGGATTCTTAAGAGATAAATTGAAGTGTTGAGGATATGAAGAAACAGATCACATGGCTTCTCGTCTCATCAGAAAATATATAAACTTACTACCTATCTGTATATCTAACCTATCTGCCTACTTCTTGTTCAAGATTCAGTTACACTTTGGAAAACAATCAAGTGATGCCCAAGACAAGTATATAGGAAGAGTGTGCGGCTCTAAAACTTTACATTGAGCATCTAGTGGGGTGCTTTGCATCATGAATTGAGCTTAATTCTGTACCAGGCACTTGACCTGTCTTATTAATTTAATAGGATAGGAATCCAAGAACCCTTAGAGGTTTGTTTCTTATCCAAGGCATACAGCTCAACTCTGACTTATTTCATAATTGATTCTCTTATTCATTATCCTGAGAATTGCTATTTTGTTTGGTAACTATAACCCTAAATGTAGAAAATTCAGGGCTCTTTATTCTGTGGCTAAAGCCTTTAGTTTTCTCTAAACAGTTTGTGGAACTTTGCTGCCATTATCTCAATCATTTTATAAAGGTCCTAGATGGTATACAGACTTGGCTTTTTCTTTTTCTTCTCTCTCTCTCTCTCTCTCTCTCTCTCTCTCTCTCTCTCTCTCTCTCTCTCTCC